TAATCTGACAGATTAAAACGACTAAACCGACAATTCCGGAAGCAGAAGCGGATGATTAAAACGCACCTGATATTTTGTCGGTTTAGTCGTTTTAACCTGTCAGATTAAAACAAGAAAACCGACAATTCCGAAGCAGAAGCGGATGATTAAAACGCACCTATTAAAAATATTGCGCCAAGATGTAGGCAACACGTAATAAGGGTTCAAAATGGCGGAGTTTTCTATCTCCTTTTAAAAGGCACTCAGAAAGCTGCGCAGTGCGACCATTCTCCGTATAGTAAAAGAAAATCAAAGTATGTGGACTAAATCGACAATTCCGGAAGCAGAAGCGGATGATTAAAACGCACCTGATATTTTGCTTGCTGCTGTCAGTGTCAGTGAATATTATTTTTGAAGTCACAATTTATTGCTAAAGAATCAGTTAGCTCACTCGGACCAGTTGAAAGTTCCAAACTAACATCCACTCCAGGGATACAAATTCAGGATACGCAGAAGACTGCTGTTTTATTATAGGCGGTTGTCATATATTGTATTATCCGAGTTGCACAGTGTATAAACTGAAACATTGAGATCCAAAGTGCCGACGCAGAGTGAGCGATCTGATTCTTTAGCTGTAAACTGTGTCACAGGGTTCAAAATGGCCGCGCCCTATGTTGGGCGTGTCGGACCTCTCTCTTGCCTCGTATAGTAATCAAAGTATGTGGTGTCAGTGAATATTATTTTTGGAGTCACAGTTTATTGCTAAAGAATCAGTTAGCTCACTCGGACCAGTTGAAAGTTCCAAAATAACATCCACTCCAGGGATACAAATTCAGGATACGCAGAAGATTGCTGTTTTATTATAGGCGGTTGTCATATATTGTATTATTCGAGTTGCGCAGTGTATAAACTGGAACATTGAGATCAAAAGTGCCGACGCAGAGTGAGCGATCTGATTCTTTAGCTATAAACTGTGGCATAGGAATCAAAATGGCCGCGCCCTATGTTGGGCGTGTCGGACCTCTCTCTTGTACTGTATAGTAAAGAAAATCAAAATATGTGATTACACCCCAATATAATTAATAATACGGTAGTGACAGCTTGGGTCGGCTCCTTAAATGTCAGAGTGTCATGTTTTTATTGATAATTGATGTTTTTGCTGCTTATTTCTACACTGAGAAAAGTAAACTTCGAAATATTTTGTCCCTTTGTCTGTTTGAATAAAATATCACACAATAAAATGAAAAAACAAAACTAAATATAATAACAATGTATGAAAATGTGAATTATAAACAATCAAATAATCCGAACAATGAACGACCATTAACATATGCCAGTTTGACATATTTGTCTAGATATTTGCACTCGATGATATCAGTAAAACACTGCTATATTAATTAACTGCAACACGTTTAATAACCATAAAAGAAGAACATGGGATATCAATTAGCAGAAAACTAAAAAACAAAGACAAATGACACATGACATGTTTTTCAGTAGTGCCAACTATTAAGTTAATTTTTAGCGATTACATATAATAATTTGCCGCTTATTTACGGACATGCGCAGAAAAATATGGAACCCTCATAAAAAATGAACTGTTGCTACTGTATTATTACTTATATTGGAATTACACTAATTTAGCATATTATTAGAGAGATATTGCAAATTTCTATAACGTCAGATATTATTTAGTATGCCTGGGAGAGTTCGGGGGGTCGTTTTCCACGTGAAATTCGGATTCAGCGCTCCAAAAAACCCCCCGGAACGATTTTTGGTTCGTCTTTTTCAATTTTGTCTGAAAACCCCTCGGGATGACGTTCAGGGCCAAGTTCCGGTGCACCAGGTGTTCAGGGAGTCGTTTTCGACGTGAAATTTAGATTCAGCGCCACAAAAAAAACTCCGCTCAATCATTTTCGGGTTGTTCTTGTCGATATTGTGAGGAAAATTCTCGGAGATGACGTCCAGGTCGAGGTTTCGGCGCACCAGGTTTCCGAGGGGTATTCGCCGATGCCATATTTGGATTCAGCGACCCAAAAAAACCCCGATTGCCTAGTTGCTCTCCTTCCTCGCGTGAATTTTGGGAGAGTCCCACGAAGATGACGTTTGTCGACGTTCCTGAGCTCCAGGTCGGCTGTGGGTCAATTTAGACATCATAATCGTGATCAGGGACCTCGAAAACCCCCGAGCCCCCGATCTGGGCTAGTTCTGACACTTATTTAACAAGTTTTGAAATCATCCAAGAGGCCTCTCAAATAATGCATTTTTTGAATGTATTTTTGGCTGCAGCAATGCAATTTCCAGTTTGTATGACCCGGAAATTACGGGGGAATGATACAAATAATTTTTGCAAGCGAATGCAAAAAACCGCATTCCGATCCGACTTGCACGGAAAAACCCAGGAACTTTGGCCTTTTTAGTGCTTCATTGCTTCGACTATAGGGGGAATGGGACATTTTGCCGTCGCCGTTTCGCCATCGCTATTTCGCCGTCGAGCCAGTTCGCCGTCGCCGTTTCGCCGTCAAGCCAGTTCGACGGCAGCCATTTCGCTATCGATCTTTTTCGTCAGCAGTCATTGAAAATTACTGTCATGTTTAGTTCGAGAAAAAGCTTTTGTTAATATTATTTACTAATCAAAAAATTCCATATCTGTGTTTTAATTTTATCTTTTTTTGTGATAAATCTTTTTTTTTTGTGAAAAAACACTCCAAAAGGGGCGTTTATTAATATTACAATCTGATAAAGAATTGATCAATGAGTAATTTTGTTATATCCTAACTTAACTTTAGCAAAAAAGATAACGTCAAACTTTGGAGATGTGTAAAAAGGGGAATGTGCAATGCACGATTACATACTAAATGGCCAAGCGATAAAAAAAGTGAACATACACACTCATGGAGCTTCGGCAGCAGATGAAGAAGACACTACGAGATTCAAGGTACACCGCCAAATCTTATTACTCTTCAAGAATTGCGCGTACCAGAACCTTATTGAATGGACAAGATGGCATTGAAAAAATTATATTTTAACGAATAGTAAAGAAGGTAAAAACAGAATATTAATTTTTGGAAGAGACATCTGCCTTCAGCATTTTCAGACTTCGCCACCAACATAGTTTGCAATCGAAAAATACACAACAAAAACCTACGCAACGTGAGTAGAAGCTCCAGAAATTCGATACTGGGACCCTAAAAAGCAGCAAATCCTGAAAACAAAAAAAAATGATATTCGCACCACAAATTATCGTACACGCTTAATAGTACTCGATTATATACAACAAAACACTAAAACTATGGCGAAATGGTTGCCGGCGAAACGACCGCTGGTGAACTGGCTCGACGGCGAAACGTCCTAGACCCCTCCTTAGGGGAGGTGTAGAAAGAAAGTGATAGGTGTATCGGATCCATAGCCCCTAATTCATTTACAATCTGTTCAATTTTATTCTGATGGTTGTTGTTTATTTGATCGTTTCGGAAGTTTGTTTGAAAGTGCTCGCCGAAGGCTTGAGCTTTCTCGTTGTATGTTGTGAGTGTATTTTGTCTTAGTTTCAAAGTAGGAAGTTGTGAGGAGGGTTTTTTGTACCTTTTCACAACCCCCCACAGTGAGTTGTCCTTCGGGTTCATTTCGGATTCGGGTTTTTTTCCAGATATTGTTGCGATGTTCGTTAATCTGTTTGTTTATGTGTTTAGCGATGTACATTAGTCTCACCCTGTCTTCATCTCTCCTGTGTAGCTGCCACCTTTTACATATTTGATATTTGTTTGTAATGTAATTTCGGGTGGCAGCGTGTCTTTGTGTGGTGGAATAGTTTTGATTTTTGTCGAGTCGTCTCTAGCTTTTTGTACGACTGTCATGAATTCTCGTGTTTTTTGTTCTATGAGTTGTGTATTATTTATGTTATTGTTTATTGTTAGTGTTTGTTCAATTTTTTGTCCGTATTTGTTCCAGTTTGTTGGCTTGTAATCGAAGTATTGTTTTGGTCTTCTGTTAATTTTCTGTGTTGTTCGTATTTCCAAGTACACTGGATCGTGATCTGAGTTTAGTGTACCTAATTGTTTTAATATTTTGTATGTCAGTTATGTTTTTAGTAACTGCTATGTCCAGTGTACTTGGGGTGCCCCCCGTTGAAGAGTGCGCATGTAGGTTCGTCCGTGTAGTGAATTATTAGCTCGTTGTCTTCGGGGAAGTCTCTCAACAAATTACCCGCAGGGTTAGCGTGGATACAGTTCGCGTCCCACTCGGGATGTTTGCAATTCAAGTCCCCAGCAAGAAAAACTCTATTACCTTTAGACATTAGTCGGTTGTAGAACATAAACGATCTGCGCATGCTTAGATGTCAAAATAAGAGCGGCTCTAATAATGACTGAAGGTGAGTTCGGGCTACACACTCTTTTCACTATATTCATTCCTAAAGTACCTTAAGCGTTCGGGAACGGAAGGAGTTAAAATAAAAGTTAATTTTTGACCGTTCGGAGATCGTAGAGTGGAGTGTGGATCGGGCATGCGCATAAGGTGATTTCAATCGATAATAAGATAATTGTGACTAATTCTTAAGTGAAAATGCTATTTATTTGGTTCCCGTGCATACCATTAATATGGAAGAAACTTATACGGTTGTTACTGATAAGTACGATTAGGTTTTAAGTATTAGTATGTCACATTGATAACTGACATTGAACTCTGAGAGTTAAACCATATGCGCACTCCGTTTACGACTACTAACTCCACTCCACTCTGGAGTGCGCAGCCCGAACTCACCATGACCTTACGTGAACTTGCAATATATCTCTATTATTGTCTTGTGTTGAATACAGGCCAAAAAGAGTAAGTAAAAATTTTATTAAATATTTTTTATAAAATTACAGCATCAAATGTTAAAAAAACTAATATACTGGGTGTAAAAATATGATATTCTATTTTAACTGACCAAATTTTTGTGTACATTTAAAATAAATTATAATAATGTATATGAAGTTTTGTGATGGAAAACATAATAAATTTAAATTGTACGTTTAAAATACCTTATACTATTGCTTCGACTCAACCTCGATGGGGAATCCCTTAATAATCTTGCGTGCGTCAAACTGCTTCTGTGGCCTGGTAGACTTGTTAAAGATTCCATACTATCTGTTTCTGAAAGTCTGGGTGCCACTGAGTAAGTATTGCTAAAAAATAACCAAAGTAAGGTATATATAAACAATAAATAAGGTGGTTGTTTTTTATAACGCGGTGACTAGCAGTACATCAGATGTACACGAAATATTTGTACATCGGATGTATCCCCATTAGTTGTACATCATAATTCTAACCTAACTTTATTTCAGATGATTGAGTGGAAGATTTAAGTATTTTTCTGTTAGTCCTTTCAAGAAAATGGGTATTTCATAATAGTTATTTGTGTATTAAGAGCGAAAAGTGATACTTCGAACTTTTCAGTCAAAATGCACACAATATTTTTTCTACGATCACATTATTTTAAGAAAACCGAAAATTTGTCGTAAGTAGTGTATAATGTGTTGCCTATATCTATATTATTCATGAAAATGTGCACTATTGTGTATCGATATCTACACTAACTTTTAGTAGTTAAAAAAACATATTTACACAAGACAGTTTGCTTATTTTAAACTTCTAACGAACTTAAATCTGGCAATTCCACATAACTAACCTATGTCGTAACCATGGAGCATAAGCGCTGCTATTATTCTCAAGGGCTTGGGTATCGGATAGGGACCCATCGCTGGCTTTGGGCCTGACTTGTCGCATCACCAAACTATATTCTTGATGGGTGCCACCGGCACCTTTTGGAAGACTTTGTGATCCCATCATCAGGCGTTCTCGCACAGACTGGCTCAGCTGGTTCGCAGTGTTGCCGGTAAGGGAGTAGCTTTTGAATTGAGGAGGACTTGTTTCTAAAAAAAGCGATAATAATTATTAAAGTTAATATTTTCAAATTTTGTATATGGTTCTTTTACATTAACTTCATCTAAAATATAGATTAATCTTAAAGAAGGAATAGCAATAAAGATTAAAGTAATTGTAGAAAGAATTGTCTAAATAATTTCAATTATTTGTCCTTCTAAAAGAAATCGATGAGTAAATTTATTAAAAAATAATGATAGAAGTAATTGTCCAACTAATACAGCAATAATTAATAAAATTATTAGGGTATGGTCATGAAAGTAGGATAATAATTGTTCTATTAAAGGTGATGCACTGTCTTGTAATATATTTTTTTTCTATTATTACCATCAAATAATGGGATTTTAAAATTGACTTGATAAATTAGAGATTGTCAGTAAAGAAATTTTGAAAAAACAGGAGGAAATTTGATAAATATTGTATAGAAATTAAGGTAGATAGATGTAAGAATTGAAAATTTGTTTATGATATAGAGAAAATAAAAAATAATAAAAGGTATGAACATTTTAATTAAATTAAAAAAAGAAGAGTTAAACAGAAAGAGGTGAAGTAAGATTAGTATGAGTAAGAAGAGAAAGCAGAAGAAACCAACAAAAGGTGACCAGACAGAAAAATAGGAGATAGAAGAGTTAGAACAGAAGGCAGAAGAACCAGGAAAAGGAAGCGAAGCAGAATAATTTTTGGTAAATGTAAGTTTTTTAGTTATTGAAGGAAGTCATTGGAGCAAGCACAGGGGGAATTACTACAATATATAATCCGGATATACCGGAGTAATCTGCAACTGGGATATATAGCAGAATCACGAAGAAGAGCCAGAGTCACCTTTATTCCAAAAGTAGAGAAAAAGGATAGGTACGACACATTCTAAATCCTTCAGATCAATCAGCCTCACTTCTTTTGTATTAAAAACAATGGAGAAGATAATTATATCAGAAAAGAAGTCCAATAGAGGGTGTCACTCCACCACAGCCAGCGGGCGTACCGAGTCAGAAGATTTGCAGAAACTGCCCTCTTACCGCTGACTGACGTAATCCAGGATGCATTGGCAAACAACGGCCGGGTGTGCTTTTCTAGACATCGGAGTATTTGACAACACTAAACACGAATCTGTCAAAAGAGTACTCGTACTTGCATACAGAAAAGTACCACATCCAGATAGATGGCTCAGTTGCTATCTACGAGAACTGCAGAGACACAGATAGGACAGGACACCATCTACATTTGCACAACCAGAGGATGTCCATAAGGAGGATATCTAACCCCACTAATATGGATACTAACCGTAGACGAACTTCTATGCAGATTGACTGACCTCGGTATACCCTCTACATTTAATGATAGAGAATGCGGCAAAAATGACACAATATAGAATGATCTGGAACGAAGTAATCAGATGAAAGTCTAGCTTCAGAACCGAATAAACTTGGGATATGCCTCAGGAAGAAAAGAGAAAAAAGTAGTTTTGTGAAAAATTTCAAAATCACAGAGCTGGGCTACAAGAAAGAATGGATTCAATAATCCATCACGTTTGCAACCTGTTAGGTACAATTCATATAAAATATTTATCTTCAGTTTTTATTTCCAACCAGTATGTGTCGAGACCCGAAAAAATAAATAGTTCCTCAAATTAGTGACTTTTATTTATACTAAAATCTGTGGTAAAATAATATTAACGGCGATAGTAACATACACAACACAACCAATGTTATTCAGTGGTTTACGGATGGTTCCAAAACTATAGAAGGAACTAGAATCGGAGTGTATAGGCCTAGAATTAGGCACTCTGAAAGTTTGGGACTAGACCCAAGCATCTTCCAGGCTGAAATTCACGGCATTGAAAAGTATATCCAGTTTAACATCGAAAGAAACTATCGTAGACAGATTATCTTTATGTACGATAGCCAAGCAACCATTAAAGTGCTAGGCTCGTATGTAATAAGCTGAAAAATGGTCTGGAGAAAAATTGAATGAGTTAAGCGAGAAAAATACAGTTACTCTTTTGGGCTTTGGGACATAATGGGGTACAAGGTAATGAGATTGCAGATAGTCTCGTAAGGAAAGAGGCTCAAACACCTGAGCTGAGCTGTCCTGTGGTATGAGCAGTAACACAATATTAGAAGAGATTAAGAAAGAATCGGACAGTAGAAGAACCGATAATTGGAACAATATCTTAAAGCTAAAATAAGCTTAGATACTTCTTGGTGAATATAACTAGAAAAGATCGAAACCCTGCATCTGTCTGACCATGAACAGGCTACGTATTGTAACAGGGGCCTTTACTGGGCATTGCCGACTCAAAGAACACCTTAATTAACTGAGTAGTAGAAGATAGTGAGTGCAAATTCGATGAGAAGGATTCTGACTGAATGTGTAGCACTCCAGAATTCAACAGCACCACAACTAAGAGCATATCAAATAGAAGAGGGAGATTTACCTAACTAAAAACCACTTCAAATCCTACACTTCTTTGAAAAGATAGGTTTGGAAGGGTCGTTATTTGCATCGAGACATTTCCTTGCTGCATTAGCGACAGAAGGGGACATACTAGATCTTTTAGGTCGCAGGGTATTAACACCACATTCTCTACATACGCCATTAGAGCCACAACCCTTAGATCTTGTAGGATATTGGAATAGTTCTATCTTGTTCACGGTGGAATCATTACAAATTGGCGCCCAACGTGGGGCCAAAAGTATGACAGCAGCAAGGATTATTAAAAAAATGTTTCTTGTTACTATAATACACTGATCCTTGTATGTTTGTTATGTGCGAAAGATAATTTGAGAGAATGGTATGATATTTGTTTTTAGATAGTAGTAAAGTATTAATAAATACACTAGATTATCCATAAAACAAAAGAAATATATGATATTAAGAATTGATACAAGGATGGACAATACAGAACAGATAGGAAGAGGATCAGCAGAGAGTAGAAGTGTGTGATGAACATACTTTAAATAATAATAGTGATGAGAATGCAAAGAAGTTAGATGAGAATACAAATAAGCTGCTAGATAAGACTGGTGAGAGGAAAGAGAAGATTTGGGAAAAAGAAGAAAATAAAGGAAGAATAGGAAAATTGCAATAAAATAGAAGATAAAGAAAAGAAAAGACTAGAAATTAATGAAGAAGAAATAGATGTACATGCAAAAGAGAAAAGACAAGAAAGGAAAGAAAAGTGGTTATGTGATTATAAAAAAAGACACAGGGTGAAAAAATGGGATAATGTGTAAAAATAAAAATAAAACAGATACAAAAGGAGTGAAAAGAAAAGTCAAATAGAAAATAAAATGGAAATAAAAGTGATGCGAATCAAGAAAAAAACGAAAAGTAGAATAGGTATAAATGAATGTAAGAAAATAATGAAGAATCGACGGTTGATTGAGAAGGAGAGAGTAAGAACAGGAATGAAAGAAAAGATATACAAAATTTAACGGAGGATAGGATTTTAGAATTTTAAAAATATGACGAGAATATGGAAATTTCAAAAATAAGATGATAGATAAATGTGAAAGATAAAAACTGATAGTATTAAAATGTTTAGTTATAAAGATTGAATGTAGCATTTTTGAAATGTGTATCTCACAGACTATTTCATGTCAAATTTGGAGAATGTCATGATTCTATCAGTTGACTTTAAGCTATGGTTTCTTAGGATAGTGCGCGACACTAGACGTACGCGTACGACAGAATCTGTCGCGTTTGATATTTAGTAGAAGTGGTTTGTTAGAGTATAAATCAATCCAACTTGTTCTATTGTTCCCATGAATTAAATAAATCGTCAATAAAGATTATTTTAATCAAAGAAAAAGAAGAAGAAGGCGAAAAAGAATTACTAGATTTTTAGTAGTAATGGCCAAAAAAAGCAATATTTTTAACTAATTGTCTTTGCAACTTCTACTTTTTAATTGATAAATAGCGGAGATTCATATTTCATTCTCTTCAGAAGAAAATTTCGACATTTGATCACTTTAAGTATAACATAAATTATTCTGTTTTTTTTTTTTAACAATGTAAATTTCTATCTCTTTTTATTATTGGAGATAATGGATTGATATTTTTCTGTGGGGAAAACATAAACTAAAAAAACTACTATCGAAAATTAAAATAAAAAAAATGTTCCTAATAAAAAAAATAATAAAAAAATTAACTGTATTCTGTATAATTATTTGGATTAAATTATTAGATAATAATATATTGCGTAATATGGAAAAGTTACACGGTAAGTGCGTAATTCCATAAATTCGTATTACGTACTATACTTTACCTACGACCACTTACACAGGTCTAAATACTTGTACAAACATATTCTGTTCGTTCTGCTTTTATCTGTTTCCCATAATGGTAGTGGATAAATAATATAAATCGAATAATCCACCACTCAATATTTTCTATATCTAAACAAAAAATCGTCGACGCGTTAGCATAATACTTACTGTGTGTTGGTTGAAGATCGCTAGAACAAGTTTGAGTGCCTCCTGAAACTTTAACTTTGGTTCTGGGTACGGCCGAGACAGCTGCAGTTTTTCCCGGAGTTTGATTCTGGATTACTGTAAAGACGGTAAAAGTTTTCGATTAAATATTTGAAAAGTTTGTCGCGGCCGACAGAGTTTAAAGGGGATTACGAATTTCAAATAAAAGGAAAAATTGGGTAATAAGGAGATATGAGAGTTATTGAGGTACTAAAGAAGGTATATTACATTTTTATTAAAATATGCATGTCTTGATAATTTTAGGAAAAAAAATACTGTTGAATATGTACTTCTGAATCCTCTGTAAAGATTATATTTAGAAATAATCATAATTATGAAACATTATAAATGTCAGGTAATATTTATGAAAGTTGTCATTATAGAAAATAAAATTATAAAGTATTCTATATAATTTATTCTATTCTGCTGAATAACATTAACAAGGTTATGGGCCCAGAGGACCATTAGGTAAGAAGAACCTAATTATGTAGACTGTTTGATAGTCGTGCTAACTACTGACTACATATTTACTACCTATAAGTATGACATCTCATAGCAGCAGTTCTCTTCTCACAATTATTGATAAGCTGACATTTTAGAAATCAATTATATTATTCAACTGAAGTAGAGTTTTGCCGACATTCTTAATCGTCTGTCTACATCAATATATTATCTTGACACACGTCTTCATTTGGAATTAACATGGGATTGCTGCAGAATACCAGTTAGATATAGATCAAATGGATTTAAAGACAGCCTCTTTGGTTTTTATCAAAGATACAGCAAATGTTTACAATAATATTGCTGCAAATGAATAATTTCTTAATAAAATGTACCAATTTTCCTATTTTTTAAAAACAAACATAGATTATTATTGTTAAAACTTATCTTGCGCATTTGGTGCTGATTAGGGTCAATTCTAACAGTCCTAACCGACTTTTCTTCATAAAAACTGTCTAAATCCCCTAAAAATCCCAATACTAATGTCTAAAATATTAACCTGACTTACTTTGTACGTTCTGCCCATTGCTTGTTCCATTCACCGCCCCATTTACTCCCGATCCATTCCTTTTAAAATACCCGAAACTCTGGGGTACGCCTCTAGCTCCTTTTCCACTCTTCTCTTTGTTGCCGCTCCCCCCTCCACTGCCATGCGGGCTGGTCCTTCTCTCCCTTCTCCCTTGCGTCGGACTCAAAGGCGCCGGCGCGGGCGGCGGTGGCGGAGGAGATCCCACACCTGGTGAATCAGTGTATCGCTTCCACTGTTGGTGATGGGCGTGTTTAATTTCTTGGTTGGAGTGTTTGGTGTCTTGTTGGATAGAAACGCCGTTTCTGGACGATTTGGAGGTGACGCGGGGAGCGGGAGGAGGTGGGGGAGACTCGCTGGAGCCCCCCCTGCGACTGGATTGTTCTGTCAACACGGTGAGGCCGGTGGGGAGACGAGGGGTACTGAAAAAAAATTAATAATTTTTATCGACAGTAGACAGTAAGTACTAGCTCTAGTCTGGCGCATCACGATAGGTTTTTGTACTAGAATGTTACCAAACCTTAATAGCAGTCTCAAACAAAAATCTCTATATAATATCTATCTATAGAATATCTATAGAATATCTATAGAATATCTATAGAATATCTATAGAATATCTATAGAATATCTATAGAATATCTATAGAATATCTATAGAATATCTATAGAATATCTATAGAATATCTATAGAATATCTATAGAATATCTATAGAATATCTATAGAATATCTATAGAATATCTATAGAATATCTATAGAATATCTATAGAATATCTATAGAATATCTATAGAATATCTATAGAATATCTATAGAATATCTATAGAATATCTATAGAATATCTATAGAATATCTATAGAATATCTATAGAATATCTATAGAATATCTATAGAATATCTATAGAATATCTATAGAATATCTATAGAATATCTATAGAATATCTATAGAATATCTATAGAATATCTATAGAATATCTATAGAATATCTATAGAATATCTATAGAATATCTATAGAATATCTATAGAATATCTATAGAATATCTATAGAATATCTATAGAATATCTATAGAATATCTATAGAATATCTATAGAATATCTATAGAATATCTATAGAATATCTATAGAATATCTATAGAATATCTATAGAATATCTATAGAATATCTATAGAATATCTATAGAATTTCTATAGAATCTCTATAGAATCTGTAGAATATCTATAGAATCTATATAGAATCTAGATAGAATCTCTATAGAATATATAGAATGTTTTTAGAATATCTATAGAATCTATATAATCGTTATAGTCTCTATAGAATCTCTATAGTCTTTATAGAATCTCTATAGAATTTCTATATAATCTATATAATTTCTATATAATATCTATAGATTTCTATAATATCTATAGATTTCTATAAAATCTATAGATTTCTATAAAATCTCTATAGAATCTCTATATAATCTCTGTATAATCTCTATATAATCTCTATATAATCTCTATGGAATCTCTATAGAATATTTTTAGAATCTTAATAGTATCTGTAGAATCTCTTTAGAATTTCTATATAATCTTTATAGAATTTCTATATAATCTCTAAAAAAAACAATCTCTATAGAATTTTTATATAATCTCTAGAAAAACAATAGAATCTATATAGTATCTATATAGAATCTCTATAGAATATATAGAATCTTTATAGTCTCTATAGATTCTCTATAGATTCTCTATAGATTCTCTATAGATTCTCTATAGATTCTCTATAGATTCTCTATAGATTCTCTAAAGATTCTCTATAGATTCTCTACAGATTCTCTATAGATTCTCTATAGATTGTCTATAGATTCTCTATAGATTCTCTATAGATTCTCTATAGATTCTCTATAGATTCTATATAGAATCTCTATAGAATCTCTATAGAATCTCTATATAATTTCTATATAATCTCTAGAAAAACAATTTTTATAGAATTTCTATATAATTTCTAGAAAAACAATCTTCTATTTTATAGTCTCTATAGAATCTCTATAGATTCGCTATAGATTCTCTATAGATTCTCTATAGATTCTCTATAGATTTTCTATAGATTCTCTATAGATTCTCTATAGATTCTCTATAGATTCTCTATAGATTCTCTATAGATTCTCTATAGATTCTCTATAGATTCTCTATAGATTCTCTATAGATTCTCTATAGAATTTCTATAGAATTTCTATAGAATCTCCATAGAATCCCTATAGAATCTCTATAGAATCTCTATAGAATCCCTATAGAATCTCTATAGAATCCCTATAGAATCTCTTTAGAATCTCTATAGAATATCTATAGAATCCCCATAGAATCTCTATATATTCTTTTAAGTGCTTCGGTACTTGGAATATTACTTTGATTTGGGTGCTTGGTAACAGCAAGTGAAGGGCAATAAAAAAGCTACACCTCGCTAAAAAAGGAAGCGTTCTAAAGTCGTATAAACTGGCAATGCTAATATTCGTTTCCTGCTCGACCTAATGGCTAATCTTTTGTAATTTTCACATGCACTTGTGCAAAGCCTAACGTTCGATAGGTGTTACTGTATATTTATTAAGGTAAAACTTTGTTCTATCATAAAAAAATTACTAGGCCAATAACACTTTTTTGAAAAAGGCCATAAAGAAAGAAGAAAGTAATTATTTAATTTGATAATTTGTTGTGTAATAATAATTATTATTTCTACACCACTGTATATTATACAAAAAGCAAGACATTTCAAATATTATTGGAATTGGTGAAAATATGTTTGATAAACTTTTAGAATAGTAAAAAATGTAACCTAATTTCAACACTTATTTAATTTGAACCCTACAAATGACACGACTTACCAAAAAATTATTATCACAGTAAAATAACAACAGTGCGTTAAGATAAGTGGTGTTAACGCCGAACAATGATCATGGAACAATTGAAACTGGTAAGAGACAAAAGTTTATCTTCTGTTTACAGATTATAACTATCTGACACTATTATTTATTCATTTTAATTTTTATTTTTATGGAGTTGTTAAATATGCAGTGATTTATGCATGTGCGCCTCGTCGGTGTGGTCTGGCTTGATTTGAATAGTTAGGGAAAACGTGTTAAGAATGCGTATACTTGACTAATTAAAATGTTATTTATGTTATTTTTATCCTTATTTCAGAGCAGGTGCGGTTGGAAATATATCGATCACAGAAACAGTGAATACTGAACAACGAACCTTTCCATATTTTCCAGAAAATGCGCTGTATATAAAAAAAGAAAGATTCAGTTTTTTTCAGAAGTTTTTAATCACGAAATAGAAATTGAAAATTACACTAATCTGCACAGTGGCGTAGCCAGAGGGGGTTGGCACTGATCGCTATTAATAATTGTTCCCTTTTATTTTTTTTTATCGTTTTATAAAAAATTATCTATTTTTATTTACTTTTTTCAATAAAAACAATCTTATCTGAAATATTTCACTTTGAAACACTCCCCCCCACCCATTTTAGTTCTCAGAAACCCTTTCCAAGAAAAAATTCTGACTACGGTACTTGATCTGCATGAAAATAGGGAGCTGGCATCATTACGGTTGATTCTTATGCAAACTGACCACATGAACCCATGAATCCGAATATGGCCCTCAATTTCCCCCAATAAAAATATAAAATGGCGAAGCCAATATGGCACCTGAAAATATTAAAAATTGAAAATGAAACCTGAACCTATTCTAAGGGGTTTTTGTTGTAGCAGATTTTAAATATGATGCTTAAAATTAAAAGTACAAAATGGTGGATCCAATATGGCACCCTATAAACTTAAAAATTGCTTTTTTTGCATATAAATGAAACCTGAAAAGTTTTTAAGGGGTTTTTAGGGATTTCTGATTTTGAATATGACACTATAAAATAAAAATTCAAAATGGCGAAACCAATATGGCGCCTGAAAATATTAAAAATTGTTTGTTTTGCATAAAAATTAAACCTGAAGCTATTCTAAGGGGTTTTTGTTGTAGCAGATTTTGAATATGATGCTTAAAATTAAAAGTACAAAATGGTGGATCCAATACAGCACCCTACAATATTAAAAATTGCTTTTTTTGCATATAAATGAAACCTGAACAGTTTTTAAGGGGTTTTTACGGGTTACTGATTTTAAATATGACATTAAAAATACAACGGCTGGTTTCTAAGGGATTTCAAGGTATCTGATTTTGAATATGATACTTTAAAATAAAATTACATAATGGTGGAACCAATATGGCGCCTCAAAATATGAAAAATTGTTTGTTTTGCTTAAAAATGAAACCTGAAATGTTTCTAAGGGTCACTGATTTTGAATATGACATTAAAAATTAAAAATGCAAAATGGCGGATCGAATATGGCGCCCCAAAATAGTTAAAATAGCTTGTTTTGCATATAAATGAAACTTGGAGGGTTTTTAATTATTTTTTGGAGTCACTGATTTTAAATATAACACTTAAAATTGAAAATAGAAAATGGCGGATCCAATATGGGACATGAAAATATTAAAAATTGTGTTTTGCATAAAAATTAAACCTGAAGATATTCTAAGGTGTTTTTGGGGGTCGCTGATTTTCAATATGTCACTTAAAATTCAATATACAAAATGGCGGTTCCGATATTGCTCTTTAAAATATGAAAAATAGCTTGTTTTGCAAATAAACGAAACTTGCGAGGGTATTTAAGAGAATGTTGGAGTAATTTTAAAAATGATATTAAAAATTAGAAATACAAAATGGCGGATCCAATATAGCGCCTAAAAATATTAAAAATTATTTGTTTCGCATAAAAATGAAACTTACAAGAATTCTAAGGGGTTTTTAGGATTATTGATTTACAATATGACATAAAATTAAAAATACAAAATGGCAGATCTAATATGGAGCCTGAAAATATTAAAAATTGTTTATTTTTAATAAAAATAAAACCTGAAGGCATTCTAAGGGCTCGCTGATTTTTAATACGACGTTTAAAATAAAAAATACAAAATGGAGGATCTAATTTGATACCTGAAAATATTAAAAATTGTTTGTTTTGCATAAAAATGACACTTAAAAGGATTCTAAGGGTTTTTGGGATTATTGATTTAAAATATAACATGAAATTAAAAATACAATATGGCAGATCCAATATGGAGTCTGAAAATATTAAAAATGGTTTGTTTTGAATAAAAATAAAACCTGAGGGCATTCTAAGCGGTTTTTGGGCTTGATGATTTTTAATATAACGCTTAAAATTAAAAATACAAAATGGAGGATTCAATATGGTACCTGAAAATATTAAAAATTGTTTGTTTTGGACAAAAATGAATTCTCAGGGGTTTTTGGTATTGCAGATTTTGAATACGATATTTAAAATAAAAATAGAAAATGGCGGATCCAATATGGCGCCTAATATTAAAAAGTGATTTGCATA